GTGTGCCTTCCCGGAATAATGATCCCATAGCACTTTGTCCCTCCAAAGCACTTTATACTTTTAGGTCTGCTCGTATGTCTTCCACAAACGCCACTATCGCCTTTTCGTCCATGCCTCAGCACTTTTCCAATTTTAATTTTTACATTTGGCCTTCCCACAATTTTTAATTGTATGTTGTCTTATTGATAATGTTATATGTTTATCGTTTATGTTTTATTTTAATTGCTTGTATTGTTGTATTATTGCCTGCATTGTTGTGTTTGGGCTTGGCCTCATGTAAGCCGCACCGAGTCCCTTGGGGAGATGGTATCAGGGTACTAATAAAGTGTTGTTGTTGTTGTTGTTATTATTATTAAGAGTGTCTGGTCGTCCCTCAGCTTGCCAATTAGTACATTCCTTTCACTATCACTATCTGGCCTTGGCCGTTCAACCTTTTCCTCGGCCCCTTTTTCTGTTAGCATCGAAGCATCTTTGCCTTGGGAACCAACGATCCCAGAATCCTCTGGTTCACTCTGGCTAGAACCAGATACTGTGTCAAAGAAGAGTTCAGATTCAGAGCCTCAAGAGAAACAATGTTTGTTCATCTTGTCAGGCAGCCCATCTAAAGATTACTTAGAAACCATTTCTATTAACAACAAAGACATGAAAGGACTTCGAGATACAGGCTCTGAAGTATGTATAGTGCATCCAGAAATAATACCTCAGGAATTTCAGCGGCCTACCTCTGAAATAAGATTAAAAGGTTTAGGACCTGCGATACCAACAGCAGTAGTGACTTTGCCAATAGAATATGGAGGATGGAAGGGTATGTGGGATTTTGCAGTCAGTCCTGACATACCATACAGATGTTTAATTGGAAATGATTTGGCTAAGAAGATTGAAAGCTGGAGGATGACGTGTGAAGAGGAAGAATATAACAACGAAAGCCATGATCAAAAAGCCATGTGTTTTGCCATACAACAGGATGGGGAGGAGAGTCCGGAATCCAGCGCTACGGTTGCTGAGCTTGTTAAGAAGACGGGAGGAATTGAAGAAATTCGGCAGGAACAAGGAGCCGATGAATCTCTTAAACCTCTATTCGCTTTGGCTCAAAACCCCACAATATTGGCAAAAGAACAGCCCTCCGAGTTTGTGTTAAAGAATGGTGTTTTATATAGAAAAACCAGGAATGTGGAGTCAACAGAAGAATCAGTGACAAGTAGTCAAATTGTAGTGCCTCAAAGTTTTAGAGAACAGCTGATGAGGGTGGCACACGAAAACCCTCAAGGTGGACATTTGGGTGTGAGGAAAACCACAAAGAGAATCACTAAGAACTTTTATTGGCCTGGCGTGTTCCAGAAGATCAAAGAGTTTTGCCAGTCTTGTGACATCTGCCAAAGATTGAGTACTGGAAGGGATAAAATTAAAGCTCCTATGATCCCTATGCCAATAATTGGAGAACCATTTTACAGAGTGGGCATTGACATAGTGGGTCCTCTTTGTAAACCAAGCAGACGTGGTTACCGATACATTTTAACCATGATTGACTACGCCACAAGATATCCAGAGGCTGTAGCTCTAACTAACATCGAGACAACAACGATTGCAAATGCACTGTTATCCATTTGGGGAAGAACTGGTTATCCTAGAGAATTGGTTTCAGATTTGGGAACCCAATTCACTTCCAGACTTATGTCGAAATTGCTTGAGTTATGTGGTATCAGACACCTGACTTCAACAGCTTATCATCCACAGACAAATGGACTAGTTGAAAATATGAACAAGACTTTAGTCAAAATGATAAAGTCTTACAGTCAAGAGAAGCCATACGACTGGGACGTCAAATTGCAACAACTGTTATTCGCCTACAGGACCGTCCCTCATGACAGTACTGGCTACAGTCCATTTGAATTGCTATATGGAAGGAAAGCTCATGGTCCATTAGACCTGATAAAGGAATATTGGGAGGAAAGTCCGGCAACAGATCCAGTTCCAGTGTCGGAGTATTTAAAGGATCTTCAATCAACAATGCAACTGGCTAGGGACATTGCACAAGAACATTTGCTTGCGGCTCAGCAGAGACAAAAAGACTATTATGATTCTACTGCTAAACCAAAGATCTTCAACATCGGAGATGAAGTTTTATTTTTATCTCCCAACAAAACCAACAAACTTCAATTGGATTGGTCGGGACCCTGGAAGATCATCAGAAAACACAACCAAATAAACTATGATATTTATGATGAACATTCCAATGTAGAAAGAAGAGTCCATATAAACATGTTAAAGCCTTATGTTGAAAGGTCTGCTAATGTATGTTTTGTTGTTTCGGAGGAAGAATCCGGTCCCTTTTCTTTTTGGGAGGGTGATCGTGAACAGTACAAAAATTTGGATCGGGTAGAAATGAACATAGAATTGTCCCAACCACAGAGAAGAGAGGTTGTGAAAGTTTTGAGTAAATATAAAGACATATTTTCAGATTTGCCAGGAAAGGTCCAGGGAGTCCAGCATCAAATAAACACCGGTGATGCAACTCCCATAGTATCTCCACCCTACAGGGTCACGGGGAGAATTAATGAGTGTATTGAAAAGGAGATTAAAGAAATGTTGGACCTAGGTATTATTGTTCCATCAGTTAGCTCTTGGGCTTCACCCATAGTGTTGGTACAGAAGCCAGACAAGACAATTAGATTTTGCGTGGATTATAGGCGGTTAAATAAAGTAACCCAGACAGATACTTACCCTATGCCACGTTTAGACGATCTGCTAGAAAGGATGGGGAAGGCCAACTTTATTAGTAGTATAGATCTGACTAAAGGATTCTGGCAAGTGCCCATGGCACCACAGGATCGACACAAAACCGCCTTCCGAACCCAAAGTCGGTTATTTGAATTTTCTGTCCTCCCTTTTGGGCTAAAAAATAGCCCAGCCACATTTCAGAGATTAGTAGACAGTGTTTTAAGTGGGCTGGGGTCTTTTTGCGTGGCCTATATCGATGATATAGGGATTTTCAGCGATTCCTGGGAAGCTCACCTTGAACATTTGGATCTGGTGTTAAGCAGGTTGAGAGAAGCAGGGTTAACTATTAAGGCTTCTAAGTGTAAGATAGGATACAATGTTACTAAGTATTTAGGACATTTAGTGGGAGGAGGTCATATTCGACCTGACCCTACTAAAGTGGCAGTTATTCACCAGTGGCCAGTGCCCAAAACGAAAAAACAGGTTAGGGCATTCCTTGGATTGGCTGGATACTATCGCAAATTTATCCCATCTTTTAGTAATTTGGCGGCCCCTCTTTCGGATCTTACCAAAAAGAAGAACCCGAACCAGGTAATTTGGACTCCAAATTGTCAAACTGCCATGGATCAATTGAAGAAATCAATTACATCGGAAAGTTTCAGGTTTCAAGCACTTTATTAGGGAAAGATACAAAGTCAAAGGAGAGGGGAAGTTACCTGGAGTTGCAGGCATTCCTGGTCTTGGAGCTAGCAGCTGGGGCGCATTCCATCTGCTGGCCTCAAAGCTTGGCCCAGGAACTGCGGAACTCCCTGCTGCAGTTCACACTAATGTAAAGGCGGGGCTACAAGATGCGCTCGCCGTCAGGAGGAAGAAAGAAGAACTCTTCTCTGTTTCCATTGACCACCTTCGTTACCATTGAATGGCCTTGCAGGTCCAAAGCCTGGCTGCTTCCTGCCTGGCTTCCCACAGTTATATTAACCCCATTTGCCTGCTTTCCCACAGGCCTCACCCCTCCGAGGATGCCTGCCATAGAGAGGTGTGGGCGGGAATGCTTCTGGAACATGGCCACGCAGCCCGGAAGACTCACAGCAACACAGAGATTCCGGCCATGAAAGCCTTCAGCTACAAAATGCAGAATATCAATAGTTGTTAGTGTGAAATCTCAGTGAATGCCAAACCCAGAGACTCCGTGGCCAGGACTGGGATTTCCTCTGGATGAGAAGAGGCCTCTCCCTTTCCAGGAGACCTTCTCTCGTGGCCTGGCCAGGCTCTGAGTGCTCAGGAGGCGAGGAAGGGGATGCGGGGAGAGACCCAGGGCACAGAGTTCCACCATTTGGAAGCCCCCGAAAGCCTCAGGAGATACCTGGCAAGGGAACCCCAAACCTTTCACAAATTTATTGAATTATATTTTGGGGTGTGCTGTATTCCTAGTGTCTCAAATGTATGGTGAAGGCCCCTGGTCCCCTTCCCTTCTATGTACATCCAACCCTGGGAACGGAGAGTCCTCTACCCTCAGTAAACCTCCCTCTAGCGATCTCCCAGCCTAGACATGGAATCCCTCTTGTGTGAGAGTGACAGATAGACAATCCCTTTATCAGTTGGGCTGTTTTGCACTCTTTACCTGGCCAGGTGTGTCCAGAGGTCTAGGATTCCCACAGATGCAAAGGCTAAGCAAAGGTGAATAAATGAGCCTTTTGAGTGGATACCCGGCCCTCTGGCTCTGTGGCATGATCACCTTTTGTGTTCTGTGCCTGGCACTGTTGCCTTCTTCGGAATGAGACATTAAGTCAATCAGGGAATCACCTGCACACCCAC